AAGTGTTTTAGTAGAAACTGTTAAGTACCACCAGAATCTAAACAAACTTCTCGATAGACAGATGTGAACCAGATCCAGATCAGTGACCAAGAGCTGAAAGGTTCTGCATTTTATCATACCCAGAGCATCTAGTTTACCAACATTATCTTCTGTCTACTATTAGGCAGCACTGATAAGAAAGATCAATACTGCCTTTCTTTAGATTTGTTACAGTGGAAGTGTATATCGCATTTGTTCCAAGTGCATTAATGTAATTGTTGCTATTGCCTAATTTAAAATCTCTTACTCTTAGAAAATACACCTGCTGCATATGTCAATTACAAAAATCAGAGCTTGAATGAAACAATTTTTACAAGTGCGTATGATCAACAGTAAAATATAATGCAAAAATAAATTAAAATACCATTTTAATAATCAAGCATAGCAAAATAGATTCTATTTATGAATTATAACTAATCATTTGAGTATTGGAAAAGTCTATTTCCAATGCAGACACAATCTACTTGTTGTGTAGCAAACAGGATGTGGTAATGAGAAAACTAGTTAAAGGTGGTTATTCATTCCACTTAGATACACGCTGTACTTCCCCATGAAGCTGGTATTACACAGGAAGTAACTTGTGCCTGGCAAAACAGATTGGCTACTTAATTAAATGCTAGCATAGCAGCTTTCTAGCTGGATGCATCATCTTGTGTTATCTTAAACGCACTGTACGAGTTCCTCACTGTACGAGTTTAAGATCAGGCAGCAGTCAAACAAGAATCCCATGACACCAAGAGGTGCCCAGGGCAGTTTAAAGCAAATGAAGCAACTTATTTTCCTTCATAAAACCTGAAGTAAAGAGAGACACACTAATTTAAGCACAACCTTTAAAGGTTTAGGGCCATCTCATCCTTGAAGAAGCTAATGCCACATTGCAGATTGGATATTCCTGAAGTTCTTACTCAGTTTCCTTCACGTTCTTCTTTTGTCCCCATCAGTGCAAGTAACAAGTGATTCGACCTCCAAAACCAAAGGATCCCCTGAGATCCTTTGCAAGGCTATACATCTAGAAACAAAAATCACAGATCATACTTTCAAGCTGCAGGACTGTATTTTGGAAAGTCGTGACCCTGAAAAAGTCATGACTCTTAACCCTAAGAGTTAACAGTAGATGAACTCCATGTGACACGTGTGGGTAAAACAGCTAACTCAATACTTAGACATATTAAAAGGGAAACATGAAACAGGAGAAGAGGGGCAATATTATCTATGTATATGACATTGCAAAGACTAGTACTGGAAGACTGTGTCCAGTTCTGGTTTCCGCACTTTAACAACTGGAAAGGATGCAGAAATGGGCTACAACTTAAGAATGATTTGTGGCCTGGAAACGTGACAGAGACTAAAGGAGCTCAATCGATATAGTTTATCAAAGAAAAGATAAAAAGGTGACTTGATTAGGGTCAACAATTACCTACTCAGGAAGAAGATATCTGATATTAGAGGGCTTTCAAATTTAGCAGACAAAGGCATAATAAGAACCAAAGGCTGGATGCTGAAGTTAGAGAGGTTCTAACTGGAAAAAGAGATGCACATTTTTAACACTGAAAATGATTAATCATTTGAAGAAATTATCAAGGAATATGGTAAATTCTCCTTCAATGAGAGTCTTTAAATCCAAGGTTGGATATCGTCCTAAAAATATGCTCAAGTTCAACCACAATCTGTTGGGTAGACTGCAAGAATCACTGGATGAAATCTATGCCTTATTCTATGCCAGAGAATCATAAAGGCCCCTTCCGAACTCAGAATCTATGCACTAGAGATATCTGCAAAGGGTCTGTCCCTTCACAGCAGCTCTCTAATCCCCCAGCTCCCTATTCACAGAAATCACAGAACTGGAAGGGACCTCGAGAGGTCATCTAGTCCAGTCCCCTGCACTCAAGGCAGGACTAAGTATTATCTAGACCATCCCTGACAGGTGTTTGTCCAACCCGCTCTTAAAAATCCCCAATGACAGAGATTCCACCACCTCCCTAGGCAATTTATTCCAGGGCTTAACCACCCTGACAGTTAGGAAGTTTTTCCTAATATCCAACCTAAACCTCCCTTGCTGCAATTTAAGCCCATTGCTTCTTGTTCTATCCTCAGAGGTTAAGAACAACAATTTTTTTCCCTCCTCCTTGTAACAACCTTTTATGTACTATTACACTTAGCAGTGCTGTAATTAAGACAGCATTTCATCATCTATGGCTGGAGGGCAAGCAGGGTCAGTGAAGGGGACAATATAGCTTTAAATCTACATAAAATTAAAACACATCAACAATGTCATGCATTATTACAATCCAAAGTGTTTCTTGTATGTTCTTACCATATGTTCAAATATAACATTCATTTCATTTATAAAGTCCTTCACAACTCTGCCCTTTCCTGCTTGTCCACTCTTGCCTTTTATCTACCTCCTCTGGCCAGTCAACAATGCCAACCTCATCCGCTCATCTTCTCTCTCAACTTCCACACTGCTCTTACACGTGGTACAAGCATAGTGAATGCATTTGGAAGTCCATGGGTCTCTCCTCCTCCAAACCCCTCCTGGGCTGTAAGATGCAGCCACTGCTGTGACCCACCTCTGCTTACAAGAAATAAGCCTACCAATGATAGTTGGGGTCAGTGTCAGCCTGGGAGAGTTAATATTAACTTAACCCCCCCCCCCCCCCAAAATGCTAATTTTTGTAACCATCTGGAACTACCAAGTAGTGCAATGGCAACCTATGTAACCATGGGGTCTTATTTTGGTTTCCTTTGTCCTCTCTCCACTTTCATTTGCAAAATTCATTGTGCCTCATCTCAGCTTAGATTTTAAGCTCCTTAGAATAGGGATAAATTGCTACATGTTTGTCCAGCACCTTGCATAATGTGGCCCAATTTTAACGATGGCCACTAGGCACAACCAAAATACAACCAAATAAATAATAATAAACACCAGATATGAGTTGTTAGTATCTGATTGTTAAAAATCTATCTTTATTCTCACAGCATTGTGTATTAGACCGAGAATACTCTACCATAAGCAATTATGTTAATGTGTGAAAACAAAACAATGTAGCAAAGAAGAAGGTAGAAAACAGCAATAAAAATAAACGAACATCCAAAATAAAGACAATATTTTCAGCAAAACGTAAAGTCTCTTCAGTTAAAAAACACCCACATTTATCCTTAATCTTTTCCCCTCATTCCAAAGTTGTCTTCAGAAGAGACATGCTGTCTCTCACCATGCTACTTCATTCTAGCAAAATTGTTATTATGGAGAAGCTGGTTAGAAGCTCCACAGTTAAGGATGAGAGTTTAGAGATATAAGCATTTAACATGGATAAAAAAAGAAAATAATATAAGCAGCAGCTGTAAGTGAAAAGCAAAGTATATAATCTCACAACATCTCTGAAATATGCATCCCAGCTTTTTGAACATACTGAGTTTTATGTCTGAATACTCAACTGTAAGCAATTTGGGGCAGACACTGATCTTTAATGAGTTTATACTGAACAATGAATTTTTTGACTGGGATGACTGCATGCTATCAAAGTACAAATGATAAATAGAACAACAATCTTTTTTTTTTTTAAATTTCTCAGGTTAGAGTTAACTATCTACTAGTAGTGTAACAACAGAATATCTAAAAATAATTGTCACAACTTGTACTGTTCTTTGGAACAGACTATTAGTTGAAAGATATTTAACCATATGACTGGAAATGAACAATCAAATACAAGTTTCCTTGGTTCCTTAACTATCTGATTTGACTCATACCATACAGATGTAGAGAATTAAAATCATTCTATTTGGCAGTGCTACTGAAACATCCCCTTGTATATATTTTGCCACTGCTATGCAACATTACACCAATTATTCAGAAAGAGAAGTGCTAAACTGAGCCACACATAAACAGGCATTAGTACTGTCAAAAGGAGGATCTGTTTGTTCTGCAGTCCAGTACTTTTGGCTGGAGTAGGAAACTGTTAAACAATCTGTAACATTCTTTTTCCCATCCAGCTTGCCCTTAGTGTATCTGCATGTGAGTAACACCAAGTGTGTTTCTTTACTCTTATTTAGCAGCAATAGTTTCTTTCTTTCTTAAATAAACAGTGTGTGGTTTAGCAGCAGCTGTCATCTGGATTTGATAGTTAACAGTGAGAGAACAAGTGCTGACTGTCCACCACTGAAGATTAGAAAGACACTGAGCTCAGAAGGAAAGTAACCAGATGAAATCCACCAACTGGGTGGTGCCAAAGCCACCAGTGATCCAGAAAACTTCTTTATCCTAAGAGGTGCCAAGACAGTATGTGTGGGATACATGCTGGCACAGTGGATGCTCCATGATCTTTGGGAGTAACATGGTTGATCTGTTGTTATATATCATATATCCAAACTGGAACAGAAGTACTGAGAGATGAGAGGAATACAAAACTCTTGGTCTTCACAGTTCCAATCTTTCACTCAACGGCCCAGAAATGGCTGCCAATAGGTAGTTATGATTCTTCAACCTTAAACAAAGTTCAACCATTCTTTTAAGTCCTGTCCATAGTCTACTATACCAGCGGTTCTCAAACAGGGGTCCACGGCCCACTGGGGGGCCACGAGCAGATTTCAGGGGATCCACCAAGCAGGGCCAGTGTTAGACTTGCTGGAGCCCAGGGCGGAAAGCCGAAGCCCTACTGCATGAGGCTGAAGCCCTGCCACCCAGGGCTGAAGCCGAAGCCTGAGCAATTGCCCTGCTTGCTACTCCATAACATCAGCCCTGGAATTTATATGCAAAAAACCAGTTGTTGTGGCACAGGTGGGCTATGGAGTTTTTATAGCATGTTGGGGAGGCCTCAGAATGAAAAAGGTTGAGAACCCCTGTACTATACTATGTTTAACTAAGTCTACAGTGCTATCTTCAACTGGCTGCACTAAACAGTAGCAAACAAATCAATCTTAAAAACATAAAACAAGAAAATTTGATTCAAAACAGAATTTACCAATCTTCTGATTGAAAATCTTGTCAAAGGTTAATTCACCTCTCTCCTCAAGATACTTCTGCATCACACTGCGGATACTGAAAGACAAAAAATTAAAGAACAGTTACTCATCAAAAAGAAAAGGAGGACTGAAGTGAGCTGTAGCTCACGAAAGCTTATGCTCATATAAATTTGTTAATCTCTAAGGTGCCACAAGTCCTCCTTTTCTTTTTGCAGATACAGACTAACACAGCTGCTACTCTGAAACCAGTTACTCATCAGTTGCTCTTTCTTAACTAGATAGTTAATGTACGTTGGAGGGAAGGAGTCTTGAGGTTAAAAGGTATTGTAAACAGATTTATGAATGCAGGGATGCCAGTGTGCATTCACCTCTGCAACTCAGTTAAAGACTATTTATTGCTTAATCCAAAACCTATGGAAGTCAATAAGAATCTTTCCATTGACTTCAATAGGCTGTGGATCAGGCTCTATATTAGAGTTCTAAAGTGGTACAAGCAGACATTTAAATAAAGTCATTCTCTAGCTCAGGGGCAAAAAAAATTGAACAAATTCTACAATCTGACTAATACAGTATTCAATGTAACACAATTATTTTCTCAAAATTCTATTTCTACTTGTGAATAACTTTCTGAACATTGCTCCTCTACACTGAAATTTCCCATGGGTGGTCCTAACCCAATGAAGAATTTTTAAGGTTTGTGGAAACTTATCCAGCAGTTTGAGTTTTGAACGAGAGAATGAAAAAAAATCACTTTTTCCATTGTAAAATAATACTACTACTCATAATAATCATTCCTATTTTTTTAGCACAGACTAAACAATGGTAGAGCTTTTATGCGTCAAATTTAGCATTTAAGTAACCTACTCTGAGAAATGTAATGTTGCTAATGTTCCCCGTTCAAAACCTATATTTTTCTATGACGAGTTAAAAATACCATACTGAGTACATGCAGGATAAAGGATGAAATTGTCACTATGTTTTCACAGTTCCAATATATGCCTAGTGCATGCCTGTGCCACTCTGAAAGACAGCATACAACAGGATCGAGACAAGGTGTGCAGGTTTTGCCCAAAACTGGATTCTTGGGTAGTTTTTTTGGTTCTTTTAAATGCAATAACTAGACTGCAGAGGCAATTCAAACTCTCCATGTTCTATAACTTCCCACCCTATACACTCAGGGTCTTCAGAATACAGGTGTTTGAAAAGGATAGAGGGCACACAGCACCTGGGCTGCCAAACCTGTTGCATATTCTTCTTGAAATGCAGAGCTGGGAGTGGAAGAGTAGAACACACATCAGGTGGCAGGGGAAGGAGTCCAGCAGGTCTACTGACTGCCAAGCCCAGCCATTGCTTTCAAATAATCTGAACTGTGGAGGCCAGAATGCACTCCAGGAAAAGACATCTACTATGGTTATTATTTCAGTTCATTTACACACACAGACCACCCTTTTTGTATTTTTCTTTTTAGGTTTTATTTTAGCCTTTTCTTTCTCTCTCTATGCAAAAAAAGAGAGAGAGAGAAATTAAATGGGGAAAAACAAGCTAATAAACTTTTAAAATCATGAATTTAAAATAAAGCAGTACACTGTATTTAAAAACAGATACAAAGGTTTCTCACCACAATATTAACTTGCTCACACTGCACATTAACCTGCTTACATTGTAACTCAATGTAAATATTTAACCAATAATAGAAAACACTATATATGTACAATTTGGGTAATTAACATTAGTACAAGATTCTTAACTTCCGATTTGCCTAATTTACATTTTAACTTTGTGACCCTGACATGTTAACATAGTTTTAAAATATAAACCATTTATTTTTGCAGAATATGGTACCATCAAAAATGTACATGGAAGATGCAAAGAGCAGCAAAGGACCCAGTAAGATTCCTAGACAACGAATCTTAGCAACAAAATGTGGAATAGGTAATCATCTCTTCTATCTTATCTTCAGCATTCAGCTCAATCAGTAGTTGGAAGTTTGGGGTAGCCAAAAGCTGTCAGTCAAGACAAGCAAATATATGTCAGAGAGTAGCATTAAAGAGTGAATTAAGGACTGTGTTGTTAAGAAGCACTTAAGGCCAAGACAAAAATGTACCAATCAGACATCCCAAAGCGAAGCAATTACATTCTTTAGACCCTATGACAAGGGGGGGAGGGGTGATGCAAAACCTAACCCAGAAGTAAAGAGCTGTTTCAGAGGCATGAACTGAATTAGAAGAGAAGGATGCTGCAGTACATTCTATAATAGGAAACAAAATCTTTACTTTGTTTATAGAGAGAACAGAGAACCCTTTAAGACCAGAGCTTGGAGCCCAAAAATGTATTAGTTAATACACTCAGAATTCAGATGCATTCTAAGGGATTTCAGAAAAAAAAGCCAAAAATGGCAGAGAATAAAAATTGGACAATAAAAGAACATGGATCCCAGTGACAGCTGAACCTGGTGATACTCTAAACCAGTGTTTCCCAAACTTGGGATGCTGCTTGTTCAGGGAAAGCCCCTGGCGAGCCGGGCCGGTTTGGCTGAACCTGCAGACGCAACAGGAAAACAATCGCGGCTCCCATTGGCTGCAGTTCACTGCTTCAGGCCAATGGGGGCTGCAGGAAGGGCGGCCAGCACATCCCTCGGCCCGTGCTGCTTCCTGCAGCCCCCGTTGGTCTGGACCGGCGAACCACGGCCTGTGGGAGCCGCGATCGGCCAACGCAGCAGGTAAACAAAGTGGCCCGGCCCGCCAGGGGCTTTCCCTACACAAACAGCGTCCCAAGTTTGGGAAACACTGCTCTAAACAAAAAGAGCTCAGTAGTGCTGTAGCTCTTCCCAATGCTTCACACTGATTCAACAGACAATCTAGGCTTCAGAGTGAAGTGTGAGTTTATTGTGTGTGCTGGTTGTGTTGATTTGTGTGTGGATTCCATTGTGTGGGGAGAGTTCAACAGATTTGTGAGGGTGCTAAATGAGGAATATAGGCTGAGGTGAGGGGCTATGTGTTTTGGGGCTGTGCATTCTGATTCTGTTGTTGTGGGTGGGTTGTGATGTGTTGGGAAAGTTGTATGGATCTGTGTGAGTGGCAATCATGGGGTGTGGCTCGCAGTGAGGCATTTGGGCCAAGTAATCCACCATCTGTGCAGTCACTCTCCTACAACCAATGAAATTTTTACCCTACAGCTAGTTTGGATGCAAGGGTGGTGATTGGTTGAGTTACTTCTGATACCACAATGGTCCAGGACACTCTGCATGACATTCATACATGTCTTACTGCACAGGTGTAAAGTCAAATTGGTTGATAACTTTAAAATGGAATGGTAACTCTCTGTGAAAACAAGTGATGATTCAATCTGGTTATATTCTGAACAAAAAGAGCCCTCAATCATGCCTGTAGCCGTTTCCACCAATTCATACTGACTCTACCGACCTAATAGGCTTCAGAGTGACAATCCTGAAATCTTATTACATACATTTCTTTTCAGCTGTCTCTGTGGTAAATTATGGATGCAGTTAATTCATTTGGGATTAAATAATGACAAATAGTCTATATGCAACCAAGTATTTCTCTTCAAGTTAACAGACAAAACTATATAATTTACCAGATGCTAATCTGCATCTTATTATAACATCTCAAAATTGTATGAGCTTTTGATAATATAGGTCCTGATCATCCAGTTGGGTTGGTGCAGCCAAATGCTTATTCCCACCTGCGTCTGACTGAGGGTCAGGCCCTAGTATGAACATTTATATCTGTTATATTCCTTTCCTGAGGGTCCCCTTTTTCCCCCCTTTCCTAATTCCCTTTTATTTCTATTAAAAATTAAATTAAAACTGAAAGATAAACACTTGAATATGTAGAACCATTACTGATACAAGACCAAAAAAGTTTACATTCACAGATAATTTTGCTACCTGTCCAAATGTGACTACCATACGTACAGGACCTGATGCAATCCTAACTGTGGCTTTTGAGTGCTACAACACATGTAATAAATCATCATCATCTATAGCACATCAAAGACATGATTAATTTTAGGCATATGAGCAGTCCTATTACCTTCAATGATAGTTTAATGAATTGGGGCCTCAAATAATATTTTGTTCATGACAGTTCAAAGCATCTTAGGTACTTATATGGCCCCCATCACCTGAGCATCTCACAACCTTTAAAGTATGTATCTTCACAGCACCCCTATCATTCCCCATTTTACATTGAGCAAATGAGGTACAGAGGCAAAATGATTTGCCCAAGGTCACAAAGGAAATCTGTGACAGAGCAAGGAACTGAACCCTGGTCTCCCAAGCCATAGGCCAATGCCCTAATCACTGGGCATCCTTATTCACCAAGGAAGGGGAAGTGTAATAAATGAGAGAGAGGGTATGCATATTCAGATAATAAAAGAAGATACAAAACCCAAAGAACACAGTCATCAAATACTAGGATGATAAAAAACAATAAAAATACCCAAAAACAATTAACTAAATTGTTTCTTTTACATATGAAATACAAAGGTAAACAAATTAAATTATGAAAAACTGTTTTTATAGCAAAGTTCCCCCGTCTTTATCATCTGTAACATTAAAGAGCTGGAGATCATAAGTGACCTCTGAAATATTTTGAGAGCCAAGAGATAGTTATGTACTTTGATCTTTGTTAATTTGTTTAGTTTTTGTCTTTTTTATAACAAATAATCTGATTGATTCGAATCCTGAGAGAAGCATCAGTGATTTTAAAATACCAAACCTACTGCGGACATGTAAACGTAAATTTATTCTGTTTTTCCAATTTCATCAATGAGCACCCAGCTGCTACAGCAACAAGAACTTTATAAATCAGTAAAAACAAATAAAAAGGAGTGTCATTTCAGAAGTTCATAGCCCCAAACCTGAAATCCTTATGCCACGGAATGACATACCTGGCTTTCAATATAGTATCTTAATTTTTTAAAAATTTCCTTACAATCAGCAAATTAAGACTGAAGAAATTTGCTCCTCCAACGACCCACTAGAGGTCCTCTCAACCCAAATGATTCTAAGCTCCAAAAGTCATCCCCCCTTTCAAAATTGTAAAGCTTCTCAAA